ACACACTGCCCCAACCCAGCAGCAGCAGAACCTGGAGAGGACAAGAGGCCTCCGAGGCCCCTTCCCAGAGTTGCAGCCTCTCTTGAGCACCAGTTTGGAATCTGCTTCCAAGTACCAACTCCATGTCCACCCAGCACAGGCAACGGCAGTTAAGACCTCCAAATGCTGGTTTCTTGGCCTGTCTCAGGGCCCTAGTCCTCCAACTGCCCCTGGTCTATGACAGCAGTGCCCTCCTGACCTGGGGATGCCAGGACCAGCATCTCAGGAGTGCGCCCTCCAATGAAGCATAGACCTGGGCAGGGCCCAGAGAGTAGAGTGAGGGTAGGCACAGGGCTATGGAGCCTCCCCACTGCTCTGCTATTCCATCTCCCCAGGACTGGCAGCCATGGGGCCAAGGAGGCAGGTATGCACATCTATCAGAGTCCCCATGGCTACATGGGGCTCCCTACTGAGCCCCAGGAGACGGGGCTATCCCCAAAAGATGGAAGATAAGCCAAGGTGAGGGGAAATGGGTGGGGAAAGCCATCTGCTCTTTTAAAATTAAAACTCCCTCAGAACAAAAAAGAGGCCAGCCCATGACTGGGGATAGCTGGCCGGTTCCCAGAGGGCAGAGATGGCAGAACAGGCCAGTTGTGAGTTGGCGTCTAGCAATGCATCAAGAAAAATAATATTAAAATAGGAAGGGACCAAACAAACACTGTTAAGAGGGCACCAAAGCCCCTGATTATGGGGATGAATGACACTCTCAGAACCCAAGGTCAGAAATGGGGAAGATAAACAGCAATATCATGGACCACCGTCACCTTCACACACAGGCTGGGAGCCCGGGAGCCCTGAACCATCTTTCTCCAATACAGCCAACTAATTTTGCCTCCCAAGTTTTGCCTGACTCTGTCTCTTCTCTCCATCTCCAACACCACTGCCTCGTCCAAGTTGCCATCATCATCTCGTCTGCTCAGTTGTTGAGGTCTCCTACGAGTGTATTCATATTCTGCAGCCCTTCCAGGCCACCTGCAGCCTAGTGGCTCCACCATTGGTCTTTGAAATGCAAACCCAATCATGACACGCCCTTGCCTAAAGCAGTAAGTGGCTCTTCACTGTCCAGGAAAAGGACGGAAGTCCCCAGCCTAGCCAACAGGCCTCCTGGATCTGGTCTCTGCCTTCCTCTCTGACCTCCCCTTGCCTCCCTCTCACTCTCTGGCTCCAACCACTCTGTCTTTCTCTTAGAATTCCATAATTCTTCCTAACACAAGGTCTTTGCAGATGCTATGGCCTCAGCCTGGAACATCTTCCCACC